TTCTGTGGACGTTTGCGGTTTGGTACACGGCGCATCAGCTCAACCTTCACCCCAGGGTCTCTCGGCCTGTGATGTCCCCAGTCTTGCTGTGGACGGGGAAGGTCGGCGGTGCGTCTGCGTTCCGTGTCTGGGGATCTCGGGCGTTTGTCCGCGACTTGTCTGCGGACAAGCTGTCCCCTCATGCTGCTCCCTGTGTCTTCCTTGGCTTCTCCCCTGATGCTCCAGGGTGACAGTTCTACCACCCCTCCTCTTGTCATGTTCTGTCCTCCCAGGACGTCACGTTCGACGAGTCAGTCCCATTCTACCGCCTCTTCCCCTACCGCACTCCTTCCCTTCCCCCGCCGCCGGACTTCCTTGTGCCGGTTCCCCCCCCGGTAGACCCCCTCCCCCCTCAGGTTCCTGCCCCCTCAGGTGTGTCCAAGGTAGACGCAGTTGACCCGGTCGAGGTTACTGGTGACTCTGGTGCTGCTGCGGGTGCTGAGCCTGGGGGTGCTGACTCTGGGGGTGATGTGCGCGGGGGTGCCGAGCCTGGAGGTGCTGCTACTGGGGGTGCTGAGCCTGGGTGTGCTACTACTGAGGGTGCTGAGCCTGGGGGTGCTGAGCCGGGGGGTGCAGTGCCTTGAGCTCCTGAGCTAGGGGGTGCTGAGTCTGGGGGTGCTGAGTTTGGAGCTGCTGAGCCTGGGGGTGCTGCGTCTAGAGCTGCTGAGCCTGGGGGTGCTGAGTCTGGAGCTGCTGAGCCTAGGGGTGCTGCGTCTGGAGCTGCTGAGACTGGGGGTGCTGCGTCTGGAGCTACCGAGCCAGGGGTTTCTCCTGGTGCTCCGTCTCGGTGGGAGCCCCTCTCTCTACAGGAGCTGCGCGAGCGGTTTGCTTGTTGCTGGAGGCGTACTGGTGGAGCTGGAGCTCCTTCGACCGTCGAGGTTCCTGGTGCCGCCGGTCCCGGAGCTGCTGGGCTTGCGGGTCCTACTGGAGCTGGAGCTGCTGAGGGGGTTGGTGCTGAGACTACTGCTGTCTGTCCTTGCGGTGGTCCTGCTACTGGTGCTGCTGGAGGTTCTGCTGCTAGAGGTGTTGGTGGCGCTGGTGCTGCCGCTAAGGGTGCTCGTGCTGTCCCTGCTGAGTCTGGAGTTGCGACGCGGCCTCGGCTGTACTTCGTTCCGCTCCTGCAGCAGGTTCTTGGTCTTTCTCCTCCTGTAGAGTGTCCACAGCCTGTCCAGTCGCAGTCACTGCTGGAGCCTACCTCCCCACTGCCCGCTCCCTCTCCTTACACTGGTCCTACAGGGGGTCTGGCTGAGCGTCGTGAGCCTGCGTCTCGTCCCGCGTCGCCTGTTCGTGCTGCTCGCGCTAGTGGTCGCGGTTCGCGTCAGCTTCCTCCTCCTGTCCCTGGCACGCACCGGATGTCTCTGCGTCCGTCCACTGCTCCTCTGCGTGCCCCTTTGCCTTCTACTCCTGAGTCCTCTCTTCCTGCGCTTGCCGACCCTGAGTCGGACTCCCTTCGTGCTGCCAGTCCTACTGTCACGCGTCTGCTTGCTACTGTCGTCACTGACCCCTCTTTTGAGTCCGCTGCTGCGTCTGCTCTTGTCGCTGAGCTCGTCGACTTTGCTGCTTGCTGTCGTCTAGACTACGCTGCCAGTCTTGTTGCTGAGTCTGCGTCTGTCTGTCCTCCATCCGTCAGGGGTGAGTGTGCTCTTGGCACGGACGTCCTAGAGGACAGGCAGGAGGAGTTCCAGTGTCTGGCTGCTGCTTCACCTTATCTCGCGTCTGTACTGCTTGCTCCTGAGGGAGACCCGGATGCACTAGACATCCCGACTCCGCGCTCTTACGCGGAGGTCGTAGAGGGTCCCTACTCCTCTCAGTGGCAAGCAGCTATGGATGCAGAGATGGCTTCCTAGAAGTCCACAGGCACCTACGTTGACGCGGTTCCCCTTCCTGGGGCGAACATCGTCAGTGGCATGTGGATCTTCAGGGTGAAGCGGCCGCCGGGCTCTCCACCTGTCTTCAAGGCGCGGTACGTTGCTCGTGGCTTCAGTCAGCGGCAGAGAGTTGACTACTTTCAGACCTTCTCTCCCACCCCGAAGATGACCACTCTTTGGGTGCTACTGCACATAGCCGCTCAATGCGACTACAACCTTCACTCTCTCGACTTCAGCACTGCGTTCTTGCAGGGTAGCCTGCACGAGGAGATCTGGCTGCGCCGTCCACCTGGCTTCACTGGGACTTTCCCTCCTGGCACCCAGTGGAGCCTCCGACGGCCAGTCTACGGTCTCCGCCAGGCACCGCGTGAGTGGCACGACACACTGAGGACTACGCTTGCGGCTCTTGGGTTTGCTCCTTCTACTGCTGACCCGTCGCTGATTCTGCGCAGCGACACTCCTTTGCCGCCGTTCTACATCCTCGTGTACGTCGACGATTTGGTTTTTGCCACAGCGGACACTGCTGGACTCGCCTACGTGAAGTCCGAGCTGCTGAAGAGACACACGTGCACAGACCTGGGTGAACTGCGCAGCTATCTTGGCTTGCAGATCACTCGGGACAGAGCACGCCGCACCATTACCTTGACTTAGTCACACATGGTGCAGCAGGTCCTTCAGCGCTTCGGCTTCACGTACTCCTCGCCTCAGGCCACTCCTTTGTCTACTCGCCACTCGCTCTCAGCTATGCCTTCGGATGAGTCCGTAGAGTCGAGTGGCCCGTACCCGGAGCTTGTTGGCTGCCTCATGTACCTGATGACCCGCACACAACCTGACCTTGCATACCCTCTCAGCATTCTTGCACGCTATGTTGCTCCTGGGAGACACCGACCAGAGCACATGGCTGCAGCGAAGAGGGTATTGCGCTACCTGTGCAGTACGTCGGGCATGGGGCTAGTGCTTGGAGGGCGGAGTCCAGTGGTCCTTACAGGACACGCGGACGCTTCTTGGGCTGACGACCAGGCTACGCAGCGGTCGTCGCAGGGGTACACCTTCAGTCTTGGTTCTGGCTCTGTCTCTTGGAGGGCTACTCGCTCGTCTTCTATTCTCGGCTCCAGTTGTGAGGCTGAGATCTACGCAGGGGCCATGGCTGCACAGGAGCTTCGCTGGCTCACCTACCTGCTGACTGACCTTGGAGAGGCGCCTCGTTCTCCTCCTGTGCTGTACGTAGACAACAAGGCCATGCTGGCCTTGTGTCGAGAGCAGCGTCTGGAGCACAGAACGAAGCACATTGCTCTTCGCTACTTCCTTGCTCGTGAGCTACAGCAGCGTGGACAGTTGCGGCTTGCGTACGTGGCCTTTGAGGCCAACACTGCTGATGTGTTCACCAAGGCACTCGTGCCTTGTGACCATCAGCGCTTCTGCACTCAGCTGGGACTTATACCTGTCCTACCTCACTTGCTCACCTCTTGACCTTGCTTTTACTCTTGCATATATATATATATACCTACTCTTGCTTGTTTAGCATGATATATATATGTGTGTCTAGTCTTGCATGTGAACTGGCCTTGTGGCCTTGACCTTGTGCTCGGACTGTGTGGTGACTTTGTGATCCACCCTGAGCTTTGCTTTGCTTTGCCTGACTGGTCTTGTGACCCCTTGTACTCCCCCACCTTGCCTATGGGGGTGTGTCAGATTTATATCACATAATTACTGTAGGCTATAGTGGGGTAGCACATATGGGGTACAGGTTTCTAGGGTTGTATTTGTACCAATCTTTCCTTAGTCATTTTCATTCCTGTTCCTTACTCTCACAACATGCATTTTCTTTTGAACATTTTCCCATACTGTGATTTTAAGGTGAGCTGAGATTTCAGCCCTTTTTAGAGCTGTGGCTGGTTTTTCAGCATTTTTTTGTGAAAAACAGGAAAATTTATGTGATTTGTAGTGTAAACTGGCATAAAATGGCAGATTTTTCTTATTTTTAGCACATTTTTTTGTACCAACTCTGATTGGTTCAGCCTAGCTCAAAACCAATATGAGGCCCCGATTGTCATGGGGAAATGTTGGGCTGAGAAAAAGTCGTAGGATCTTTTAGAGCTTTGTCGTTGTAATATTATGCCGCAGAAGGCTGAAATTCCTATGCTAGTCAAATGTGAGAACAAGAATTGATAATAAAGGAAAGGTACACGAGATTTTTAGTCTAGGAAAGTACCTATTCAGTAATGTACCTGTTCACGAACTAGGCTGTTTCCCGAATCGACTCCATGAAGCGGTATGTTCTTGTGTCACGCGAACAGTCGCGAGACTGTTCGCACTACTGCGTGTAACTCACGCGAAGAAACACCTGCTACAATAACATACAGACTTAATAATACTACAATACTACTGGAGTGTTTATATACTATCAAACTGCTGAATTGGATAAGTCAGATTTTTTTTTTCCCAACACTCCCCTTCAATTCTGGAGTTCGATGTTATCATTATTGTTGGTGATGTGGCCGAGTCCAGTCATCATCATGCAGTATTAAAATTTTCGGACGCGGCAGGTGCTTGGTTTGATTGACGAACCAAGATTTGTTAGCAATGCAGATTGTGTCAAATTGTCATTGTGCTTGTTAGGCTATAGTAAGGCACTCCATATGGGGTACAACACATTCTAGGGTTAGCAATTGTACCCCAATCCTTGCCAGTCACACCATTCCGCTGTACTATCATTCTGACATGGTATCAGATGCTAGGTTAGGTCCGACTACTGAACCTACTACCAGACCTACAATTAGGTTAGGTTTGTTCTCGCTGCCCCACGCCTTGAGCGCCACCACCCCATTGCCCCGCACATCGCGCGCCACTGCCCTGCGCGCCCAGCGCGCCCTGCTGTCCTGCGCCGCGCACGGCCTGCTGCCTCGTGCCCCGCGCGCCCTGCTGCCATGCGTGCCCCGCACGCCCTGCTACCCCTTGCACCCTGCGTGCCCTGCTGCCCGGCGCATACCCCGTATGCTGCCCCGCACACGCCCCGTACTCTGCCCTGCGCGTGCCTCGTTCGCTGCCCTGCGCGCGCCTCGTTCGCTGCCTCGTGCGCGCCCCGTGCACTGCCTAGCGCGCACCCCGTACGCTACCATGCGCGCGCCCCGTTTGCAGCCCCGCGCGCGCCCTGTACGCTGCCCCACGCACGCCCCGTTCGCTGCCTCGCGCTTCCTGCTGCCCTGTGCGCCCCGTGCGCTCTGCTATCCGCGCGCCCCGCGCGCCCTGCTGCCATGCGCGCCCCGCGCGCCCTGCTGCCCTGCGCAGCCCACGTGCCCAGCTGCCCACGCACTGCCCTAGCTGCCCGTGCACTGCTGCCCGCCCTGCCCATATGCTGCCTCGCGTGCTGCGCGTGCCCGTGTGCGCTGCCCTGCCCGTGTGCTCCCCAGTGCGCCGCACCTGCACGCCCCGCTGCCCTGTAGCCGCCGCTCCTGTCATAGCTGCCGCTACATCCACTACAGCAGCCACTACAGCTACTGTAGCTGCCGTTACAGCTGCCACAGCCGCAACACCTACCACTATAGGCACCAGCTGCCATTGCCGCCTTTGCGCCGCTGCTGTTGACTCCCGCTGCCCGTCATGGCAACTCTCCCAGTCTTATCGGTTGACCCAGACGGACGCCCTTTCAAGTCAGGGTTGTGGCTTACGTGCCTCCGCACGTATCTCCGACGTTTCATTATAGATAGCGTCACCCTGCTCGAGCACACGTCGGGGCCCTTTCAGGCCCCCACGACTCCCACTGAGCCTGCTACTAACGCTGGCGAGGACATGCAGTGGCGGTACTGGGCGGATGGCCTTGCCTACGCACGGTGGACGGAGCGCGAAACTGTCGCACAGCTTGCCGTCCGAGCTCACCTGCCGGTTGACCACAGGGACCACTTTCGTCGGATGATGTCGGCCCAGACTTTGTTCGACACTGTGGTTAAACACTACTCCTCCCTCTCTCTTGCCACCCGGCCACTACGGCATCACCATCCGTTGTGAGGGGAGGTGCAACAGCTGGTTGGGGAGGCGAGTGTAGGTACCTGTGCGTCTGCTCCTACAGGTGGTGCCGCTGGTGGAGGCAGAGGTTCTAGGGGTGGACAGCAGCGGCGGTAGCGTCAGCCAAAGACCCTCTTACAGCAGCATGTTCGAGAGTGGGTTTCCCAGCGACACGTCCCTGGTGGTTTAGAGGCTACTTGTCTAGGTGCAAGTGAGCCTGTAAGTGCTCACCGACTGGCCGCCACCTCGCCATGTTCACTTGGAGACCCAGGTCTGGCCTGTACATACTGACCACTGATTTCGCACATGTAGCTGCGTCCGGTCAGGTAGCTGCATCTTGTACGTGTCGAGTTCCCACCAATCTGTCTCTCCTCTTGCACCACCGTATAGGTCATCCCTCCCTTCCACGTCTGCGTAGTATGCACTCCCGTCTCCTTGTCTCTGGCCTCCCAAGGTCCCTGCCCCTGCTCCCGCGCTTGTCTGCATCGCCGTGTCTTCCCTGCGTTGAGGGGCGCTTCCTGGAAGTCCACAGGCACCTACGTAGATGCAGTTCCCCCTTCTAGGGCGAACCTAGTCGATGGCATGTGGATTTTCAGAGTGAAGCAACCGTCGAGCTCACCGCCTGCCTTCAAGGCGCGTTACGTTGCACGAGGCTTCAGTTAGAGACAGGGGGTCAACTTCTTCCATACCTTCTCCCCCACCCCAAAGATGATCACTCTTTGGGTGTTACTGCACGTTGCAGCACAGCGTGAATACGAGCAGCACTCGCTTGAATTCAGCACAACTTTCTTGCAGGGCAGCCTTCACGAGGAGATCTGGCTGCGCCACCCACCTAGCTTGATTGGGTCATTTCCTCAGGGTATCCAGTGGAGCCTCTGGTTGTTAGAGACTAAGGACGGAGTCTATTAAGATTAGGTGCCTAAATTTCTCAAAATCGTTGGCTTAGGATTCTGGACAGAAAAATCACGCTCACAAGAAACGTTGTCGACGAAAATTTCACGGTCAAAACTTCACTAAAGTCAGATATGTTGTAGCTCTATTCCGTGGCTACAATTCCCAAGTTGAATCGTACGGAAAGGTGAAGTATTTCTTGAGTTATCAATTTCGGCGCACTAGGGGATATGCTGTCATAGAATCTTAACTCAAACACAATAGTCTCACATAAGTTCACAATTACTGCACAAGAGAGTTAGAGCAGGAATCAACCAGGTGGGAGAGGATGAGGAGGATGAGAGGGAAGGGTCCCAAGAGAGTCACCAACCAAGGAAACCCCATGCCACACAATTCCCTTCCCCATAGGCAACCCAACTTTGACCTTTGTCACTATCCCAACTTCCACAATCCACCTCAACCCAACTTGGCCACACGTGCCAACCTGGTTTGGTTTCTCCCAACCATTTGGCAGCAACTACAGTAGAAAAGACGAATTTCCCAACCCCCAAAAGTCTGTACCCCATATTGAGTCAACCCCACAACTTCCCACGGTTGCCACAATCAAATATGAGAATCATACGAACTCCAACGTTCGTAACTTTCTTGATCGTGCTCCGATTGAAGCGATACTTGGTTCGTCGGAGAGCTCTTGAGCAGAGAAGTCATTTCAGATATCTGCTCAAGCCAAATAACATTTGCACACACTCAGAAAATTCAAACCACACAAAACACAATTTCTTGCACACGCTCACACCACGCATGCAACGCACGAACATATGATGGGAGGCAAACAGACGTGAATGCATATAATTGCATCACACAACATTGGTGACCAGTCTACGGTCTGTACCAGGCGCCTCGCAAGTGGCACGACACACCGAGGACTACATTTGCAGCTCTTGGGTTTGCTCCTTCGACTTCTCACCCGACGCTGTTTCTACGCACCGACTCTTCTCTACCGCCGTTCTACACCCTCGTGTACGTCGACGACTTGGTCTTTTCTATTGCTGACACTGAGGCACTGGTCATTGTGAAGGTGGAGCTGTAGAAGAGATACACTTACACTGACCTGGGTGAGCTGCACTGCTATCTTGGCTTGCATATCACCCGAGACAGAGCAGCGCGCGCCATTACTACGTCTCAGCAGGTTCTTCAGCGCTTCCGCCTTCCGTTCCCGTTACCACAGCCCACTCCTTTGCCTACTGGCCACTATCTCTCAGATCCATCTTCGGAGGAGCCCGTAGAGCCGAGTGGTTCGTATCCAGAGCTTGTGGGTTGCCTCATGTACATGATAACTTGTAGTCGGCCTGACCTCGCGTACCCTCTCAGCATCATGGCCCGTTTTGTTGCTCCCTGTAGACACCGGAGGGTGCACTGGACAGCTGCTAAGAGGGTGCTGCGGTTCGTGGCCAGTACATCAGGCATGGGGCTTGTGCTTGGTCACTGAGACACTTCTTTGGCCGACAACCAGGAGACTCGGCGTTCGTCACAGGGTTACACTTTCAGTCTCGGCTCTGGTTCTGTCTCCTGGAGGTCCACCCACTCGTCTTCTGTTCTCAGCTCCAGTTGTGAGGCTGAGATCTACGCGGGGGCCATGGCTGCACAGAAGCTACGTTGGCTGACTAACTTGCTGATGGAATTGGGTGAGTCGCATCGTTCTCCTCCAGTTCTGTACGTCTTGCTTACGTGCCTCACAAGCCAACACTGCTGATGTCTTCACCAAGGCCCTTGGATCTGGTGATCATCAGCATTTCTGCACTGCTCTTGGGCTTGTGCCCACCCTGCCTCACATGCTTCTCTTTTGATCTAGCTTTGCCCTTGTTATACACTGCTATAGATATGTATACTTGCATGTTTTCACTTGCTAGGTTGTGATCAGTAAACTGCCATTGCTATCATAACTTGGCATGTGAACTGTTCTTGTGGCCGCTTGCGTGTGCTTTTGCTCGGACTGTGTGGTGATCTTGAGATCCACCCTGAGCTTTGCTTTGTTTGCCTCTCCTGACTGGTCTTGTGACCATCTTGTTGTCCCCCACTTAGCCTATAGGGGTGTGTCAAATTGTCATTGTGCTTGTTATGCTATACTAAGGCGCTCCATGCATGGTACAACACATTCTAGGGCTAGCACTTGTACCCCAATCCTTGCGAGTCACATCATTCCGCTGTACTATCATTCTGATCGATTGCGGACTGTGTCAAATTATAATCTTATGTAGGCTGTAGTGGGGTAGCCTATATGGGGTACACATTTCTAGCGTTGTATATTTGTACCATATTCCATTCCTTACTGCACTCATTCTCGTTTTAGTTTTCTCATGGTATCGAGCAGGTTCCCTCGTGGGAACGGTGCCTAGGGCCCACCAAGTCGAATTTTTTTTTTCCTGCCCGGAGCGCACTCAGCCCGAGTCGCGCTCCCCTCTCTGACTTCGTCGAGCCGCCCTAGCGGCCACGTCAAGACGCCTTAGCGGCCCCTGATTTGCCGCCCTAGCGGCCCCGTCGCCCTACCTACGGCCCCGGCCCCGTCGCCGTACCTGAGCCTCGACCCCGTCGCCCTACCTGCGCCTCGGCCCCGTCGCCCTACCTGCGCCCCGGCCCCGTCGCCCTACCTGCGCCCCCGGCCCCGTCGCCCCAACTGCGACCCTGGCCCCGCCGCCATACCTGCGGCCCCGGCCCTAGCCCTGTCGCCCTACCTACGCCCCGGCCCCGTCGCCCTACTTGCGACCTCGGCCCTGTCGCCCCACCTCCGACCCAGGCCCCGTCGCCCTACCTGCGCCCCAGCCCCGGCCCCGTCGCCCTACTTGCGTACCGGCCCCGTCGCCCTACCTTCGACCCGGCCCCGTCACCCTACCTACGGCCCCGCCCCGCTGTCCTACCTGCGGCCCCGCCGCCCTACCTGCGGCCACCCCGCCCTACCAGCGGCCCCGCCGCCCTACCAGCAGCCCCACCGCCCTACCAGCAGCCCCGCCGCCCTACCTACAGCCCCGCCACCCTACCAGCCGCCCCGTCGCCCTACCAGCGGCCCTGTCGCCTTACGCTGCCGAGCCGCCCGCACCGCTACGCAGCCCGAGCCGCCCGTTCCGCCCGAACCGCCCGAGCCGCCCGAGCAGCACGCGCCGCCCGAGCCGCCCGAGCCGCACGAGCCGCCTTAGCAGCTGAGGAGCCGAGCCGCAGTTGCTGCGGAGCCGCCCGAATCGCCCGAGCTGCTCTGCTGCCGAGCTGCCCGAACCGCCCTGTCTGGTGAGAGCAGCGACTCTGTCACTGCACTGCCCTTAACCTACAGTTAACGCTGCTAGTCTAATGCTGTCATGGCTACCCCCAGTGTTCTCACTTTTGACGCTGAGGGTCGGGCCATTGACTTTGACGTCTGGGTAGATGACCTGCAGCTGTTCCTACAGTGTGATAGGGCAGACGGTCTCTCCCACTTTGACCTCACCTTTGGTGCCTCCACTGCCCCTACTGCCGATGCCGACGCCACTGTTTGCTCACAGTGGGCCACTCGCGATGCTGCTGCACGTCTTGCTGTGCGTCGCCACCTGCCTACCACTGAGCACGCAAACTTTAGTTAGTACAAGAGTGCTCAGACCTTGTACGACGCTGTAGTTGCGCGCTACTCTTCCCCTGCCACTGCTGCACTGAGCCGCCTCATGCTACCGTACCTCTTCCCTGACCTTGTTGCCTTTCCCACAGTCGCTGACCTCATTATGCACCTCCGCACTAGTGACACTCGCTACTGCGCTGCGCTTCCTGCTGAGTTCTGCGCCAA